AATGCTAATGTTAACCCCCCCCCCAAAAAAAGCAAGTTTCTTTTTATATTATGGACATAAATAATAATATACTGCATTAACAGTGTGTGGTGTTTTGTTTTAAGCATGTTAACGTTACGTGCATGGAGATAAACGGTTGAATAGGAAGTCTATATTTTATTTTAGGTAGGTTAACGTTAACGTCTCCGAAGCTAACATAAATATACGTTTAGCCGTTAGGGCAGTTTAGTTAGTTAGTTGTATATTAACAAATTATTATACAGAACAGTTAGCTTAGCACGAAATAGAGGTGGTAAAGACGAGTCAAAATGCTACATCAAATTTACCCTACTTTTATTTTTGTATTATTTTCCGCTGTTCGCAAGTTAACGTATGTTTTTTTTTAACTACATACATGTTGTCCGTTAACGCAACACAATGCTGTTACATTTCGAATTTAGTGTGGAATTGCCAGGCAACCACGGCCCATAGTTGTTACAATCTCATTCTATGTTCTAAAACGGTCGGTTGCCTTGACAGTAGCCTGCAGAATGTGACATCACAATCGAAATGTTGATTCTACGTTTCACCTTGAAAGCTTCTCAAAAAGGACATGCTGTGTTATTAATGAAACCGCGGTTATACGCTGTTCTTAACCTTTACCCAGTTTATTACAAGACAAGCTCTCTCCCTTTTGAGATATCAGAATGTGAAAGTCGTACCTCCACCCCAATACAGTGGATGCAAACTGAACTTTGTGCTCAAGGCACTGAATGAAAATGCATATGAATAACTTCAACGTTTTACTCCAGAAGAAATAAATTCCATCAATGTACATAATTCTGGTTGTACTGTGAAGTTTCACCAGTGTCCTACTGTTTTTTGGTGCTGATCTCAAAGTTGTTATAGCGTATCCATATTCAACATATTTACTGAGAGATATTCGTACACAGCAACCACTGTAACACTTAAAACACATATTTCTGTTACATTTTGTTTTTCATCAGTGGTGCTATTCCATTTTGAAATGTCACTGTGATACATTTTCAGGCTACTAACCCCTGTGACTTCACTCCCTCTGTTAATAGATAATGCATGCCATTTCTGTTTATTTATAGCTGCTATGGGTGTGTGAAGTTGGCTGCCGGGGTTTTCATTTCTACATTAGCACTTTTTTTTTTTTTTTTAAATGAGGGAACTTCCTTTTGAAGTGGAACAGTAATTGGATTTCTCTGCAAATAAGTATTGTCTTATGTTGTGGCTGGCTCCAGCTCCTGTGTGTACGTTGCACACTGGGCTCCAGCTAAATCCATATGGTAGCCAGCAGATTAAATGTGCTTATTTCATGACACTTTAGGCCAGAGGATTTACGACGTGAGTTTGGTCGTTATGGGCCTATTGTAGATGTCTACATTCCACTTGACTTCTATACACGGCGGACAAGAGGATTTGCTTACATTCAATATCCTTTATTCTTTTAGTTTTGATTTGAAAATGGTGTTTTCACAGAGGGATTGTGAAAGTCTGACTTTTTGGTTGACCTGACCTTTTCACGTCACACAAGTGTTTATCCCATTGCATGGGAATGTTTTTTTTTTTTATTTTTATGTCATTTTCTTTTCTAAGAATTGTATGTTATCTAGTATATTGTACACAGATTTAACCATATTCCTAACCAATATTTCTTCTGTTGTTGCCTTAGAATGGTAAAGATACAGTTCTGGAGACTCCACACCAAAGAAAGTTGAAAGGCGGTTGTAGAGTAGATTCAAGCCAAAGACACCCAGGCAACAAGCAGTAGTGGAATTGGGAAAATAAAGAGAGAGCAAAAGCATGAAGATACAAAGAGGAGAAAAGAGAGCACCAAGGCTTCCATTTGTCTACCAAAAGGGAGGAAAAGTGTTTATTGGGCAAAGACAAGCAGGAAACCTCAAGTTCTTCTGCCAAGACAATAAAGATCAAGCTGAAGGTCAAAGGTCAAGCATGTTAAAGGTAACAAGCCAAACTTTTTGTATCCTACTGAATCTGATCATCAATACTTGTCTTGTCCTCACAATTTGAAATCACAAATGGGTCTATTGGTTCAGTTTTATGTTTAATTTCAGACTGAAGACAATAAAATTTCATTAATTTTCACTTTTAAGTCATTACCTGAACTAGTTGATTTTTCACCACACTGATCTAACTCCAGTAGCTGTGTTTCATAGACTGCAGCTGTCAACCTGTGTTGCAGCCTTTTTTTTTGTAATTGTTGTGCATGTGTGCAGCCTTCTCTGCCCCAACTTTCCAAATTTCAAAATAAAAAGGCCTTAACAATACAGCACGTTTGAAGATGTACGGGATGCAGAGGACGCTCTTCACAACCTGGACCGCAAATGGGTCTGTGGGCGTCAGATCGAGATCCAGTTTGCCCAAGGAGACAGAAAGAGTAAGAACGATTAGCATTCCTATCTAAGCAGCATTTACCTATTGTAAAGCCGCATTCAGTGTTGTTTGGAAATATTGAGTTTGTAATTACCTAATGTCCTGATGTGAATTTGTCCATCAAGCTCCTAACCAGATGAAAACCAAGGAGCGCCACTCCCCCCGAAGTTTCTCCCGCTACGATGACGACCGGGATCGGGATAGGGATAGCCGCCGAAGACGGTCCCGGAGCCGCAGCTACGATCGACACAGGTCCCGAAGCCCCTCCTATGAGCGCCGTCCTCGGAGGTCGGAGAGCCCCAGAGAGTGAGTTGTTGGCCAACTTTATTTGTACTCGGGGAAAGAAACTTAAAAAACAAACAAAGTTTTATAATTTAATCAGCACTCAGTGACAATCCTGTCCTATAATGTGTGTAGTACTTAGGGCCCGGTATCTAACTGAAATACTTAAATACCGAGCGGAATAGTTGGTCCGATTTTGGGAAATATCTGGTCAGACTATAAATATACAAGACGGATCTTAATCAGGAAACTTTTCTGACCTTTTTATTTAATTTATGCAAAGTTCTTGTTGGTGCATTGATCACTTTGGCATATTGCTTTAAATGGAAAAACAACATTTGGTATATGGTTATCATATTGGCTCCTATATCTTCTATTTGCAGTACCCCAGCCTAAGAAGTTATAACAGAACCAACTGTGACTTCAGATAATATCTAGGTTAATCTGGGTAGGTTTTAGGTTCCTCTGTTATTTATTCCCAAACACACTACTACTAAGAAAGAAGAAGATCATCAAAATCAAAGAAGACTGAGGATTTAATCCTTATTTTATTGTGTTTACTTTCTGCCTCAGTGGAACTGGTATAACCCCGCCCTGTCTGTTAAAAAAGAAGAAGCAAGAAGCCACACACTGCTTAACTACAATAACTCATTGTTCTCTTACCTGGATTAAACATGTGGCACCTCATGTTGAAAGATACATCCTGAAAAACGAGTTTATTTTTATTTCCGTCTTCTCTACAGCTCTCGGTCCTACAGTCGACATAGACGGAGCAGAAGCCACGAAAATGAAAAGTATGCTTATTTGTCATCTTGCAGTATTTAACATAAACAAGGGCTATTGTACTATTCTTAAACTTTACAACGCGCACATTTTCTCATTAAGTAATAATCTTTCCACCAGGTACAGAGGTCCTCCCCGTGAGCACCAGAGGACACACCATGAACCAGGCTCACGTAGCCGCTCCGCGTCTCACTCCCCTTCAGCCTCCAGAGCCAGGCCCAAAGGTAAAAAGAGCCAATCCAGGTCCCACAGTCCGGCTGAAGACTTCCACCCAACCTCCAGCTCCCAGAAACAGTCTGTGGGACGATCTCCATCCCGCTCCTACTCTAGATCCATGTCCCGGTCACGCTCTCGCTCCAGGTCCTGGGCTGGACGCAAGTCTGGAGGCCACTGACCTCGGAGGCCCTGATAATCTGTCGGAGGATGTTTTTGTTTAGCTTTCAACTATGATAACTGGAGTGTTATGCTCGTTTGCATTTGTTTATCATTACGTAATGGAGGAGTCTGTTGCCAAAGGAAAGAGAGCGGCAGGAGCTCATTTTTTTAGCATTGTGAAAAGTTTTTTTTTTTTTTTTCTGAAGTGATTGATGAAAGCACAGCAGATTCTGGCTGAGTTTGGGCAAAATTTTTTGTACTTGTAATGTCGGTAGCTGAAGGTGGAAAATGATACGGTTTGGCGTTGCCAATATTTTTGTACTTTGCGTTAGCAATATTCACATCCGTTCATAAAGTTGTTGAAATGCCTGTCTCTATTTGGTTCCATTGTTTGTGTATTATGTAAACATGAATAAAAAGTATAACTTCAGGTCCTGACGTACCAGTGTTAATCAAGTATGTTAGTGTCGATGCCTGGTTTGTGGCATTTGTAATTATACAGCAGGCAAACTGTCTATTATAGTAGCTGTTAATTACTGTGGTAATGAATGACATGAAATGCAATGAGTTGCCACCGAATACTCTGTCCAGAATTTCATGTGACAATATGAGATGAGCTGCATTCATATTAATGTCCTTTGTTCAGTGACTGAAACGATCAGTTGAATATTTTAAGTGTTCCTTCACTGTTACCCTAGTTTTAATGGTTTTACTTCTTTATCAATAAATGAATAAATTCTCTCCGTTCTCATTTTTTGAATACCTAAGCTGTACTGACTACAATTGTAAAGGCACAAGTTACTTTGGCCAAGAACAGATCTATTCTTCAGCTATACAATCTATACAACAATAAACCAAGTGTAATATAAATTAGAAGATACTCAGGCACAGACAAAAGTAGGGGGGAGGGGAAGGGATTTATTTCTTCTGGCAAAATTTTGTCATCAATTAAACAGTGCATTCTTTTACATATGCTTTTTTTTAAACACCAATTGATACCAATCTTAAAAACAGGGCATTTTGATCTTTTCATCTTCGGTGACATTTTTATCAGTGGGACAAATTAACAGCCAATTCATTACATGTTTTAAATTTAGAACAAGGAGACTTTACCATGCACGACTCAATCAGGGCAAGAAAGAAAATGTTTACATGAACAACCAATAGAAGATAATAGTTATACAGCATTGGACCAAGTTCAGTTGTCAGCTGGCGGAAGAACAGCTGAGAAGTGAAGGTGGTTTGGATTAAAACATTTGGTCAATTTGTGGCATTGCCACCTAATGAAACTAGTCAGTTTCAGCATGGGTTTCAACTTAGGCACAAACAGGTCAACTCAAGATTAAAAGCATCACGCTTACGCATACTGTAAGCACATTCGGAACTCAAATCCATACATAAGAAAGTCTCCTCTAGGATCAAATTGATTTGTTACTGTTTTGCTTAATTTGCATTTAGCATCTTTCACCCTACACTGCATAATACAAAACAATAAAAAACATGTGCAAGATCTCTGGAAAGATAACAGTGCAGGGGTACTGACAAATGCTATCGGCAGATTTAATTTTTTTAACAAAAATATTCTTCAGTATTGAAGTCAAGACATTGAAGTCAAGACATGTCCTTAGCATGTCTTATACATTCAGTGTTATTACTAAAAATACTTTTGTCAGACAGGCCTCAAACTCGGCCTGCAAATGTACATATGCTACAAGTACTTTATACATTTCATTATTTACATGGCTCTTGAACACACTAACAAGCTCTCATACTTTGTTTTGTCATCTTTAGGCTGGCCATAAACAGCTCCAATTCTGCAAAGGGAAAGCAAAGAGCGCCTCAATAGAGGATTGAATCACAAAAATAGAGAATCCATAGGGAGATAGTCAATTACGCCTCCATCATGTCTATAGCATCCTGGCCTGTAACTTATTAAAAACTGATTGCAGTGCAAGAGGGTAAACAAGAGGCAGAGGCAAAAGGCAAAGAGTGTCTGTTGATTATGGGATGGTCAATCATTAAGACCTGTTTTGTAAACACAAACACCAGCCTCCTGCCTCATGAGGAGTCCCTTGAGCCACTTCACTTCAGAAACTTGCCTCAGCTCTGCCTTACCTTGCTTACAAATGCGAGCAGCTAACAGGACCACGTTATGAGACTTAGAAAGTGAAACTCAAACAGTCCCACGTATAAGCCAGGCCCTCTTCCGCATGTTAGGCTGCTGCACTGTCCTGAATAGGCGGAGACTGAGGAGTAATAACAGTACTGATTGGAACAGATGAACAGTCAGAAGTGACCAAGGGACTCAAACCTGTTCACCACTCGGGCTGGCAAGGTTAAAGTGGCAATGGCAACATTGCCGACCACACAGAAGATGTCCAAAAAAGAAAAAAAAAAAAAAA